GGGAGAGAGACAGAGAGAGAGTGTGAGAGAGAGAGAGAGAGAGAGAGAGAGAGAGAGAGAGAGAGAGATTTGAACCCTACCGTTCACCCTGAAGTAGTTTGTAACATTTCTTCTACGACATCTTGTATAACCTCCAAATGACGTACATATAAACACTCTGGCATTTATTCTTTCCCGCTGTGATCAACACCAGGATTATATTACGTGCACCATTTCGCTACTCACAGTAGGCTGAACCCCCTTTCTTAGATAGCTTTATTTTGGTAGGTTAGCATCATTCCGACTGTAGGAGTATTGAAAAGAGGTATTGCTAATTTATAAGTATGACGGCATATTTGAGGTGGATTTTAAAAGAATTGATTTTCAGTAGTTCGAGTGCTTTTGAAAATGTGAAGTTTCGTAATCGACGCCTTTTTTTTACTTGGCTTACCAGCGGCGTCCCGGCCCGGGATTAAGGGCGTACCTGACGCTGGCCCGAAGACATCTTCATGCCGTATTCCGGTCTTGTCAACCTGAGACATGCTTTCTCATCGACACAGAGCAACACATTCTGGGACATTCCCAGAAAAGCGCACATGATAACCTTGCCTTACCCGGATTCGAACCCGGGGTCTCTGAATCGAAACGGACCCCGCTGACCAATGAGCTGAGCCTCCAGGCTTTCTAGTATGCAACCATTTCATGAATTCGTATATGAATAATGACAAATTTTCAGAATGTGAATTTCTTCTTACGTTGTGTCTTACTCAATAGTTAGATATACTCTTTTGGATTGTAACGCGATCAATGTAAGCTAATTGTTTTCAATAAATTGAGTACATTTACAACATTAAAAAAAGGGTTTCTAGATGGTTACGCCCCCTGCGTTCGCCTGGCTGTAGCGTACCTGGAAGAAGTCGGGCGGCAGCACGTCGTGTGGGGCTGGCATGAGGGTGGGGGCAGCCGCCTCCGCCGCCGCCGCCAGCGCCAGCGCCACCGTCGCCAGCAGCAGCATCGTGGGCGCCGCGCCCCGCCTCGCCGCGCCGCGCCCCGCGCCGTTCGCCTGCGGACGCACCTCCGCCTTAGGGGCCGACCACAAATTACGTGAGGCCTCTACGGGGGAGGGAACTAGGCGAATCTCACGTAATACACGGGGAGAGGAAGAATCTAACAAAATTATCAAAATGCTTTATCATTAATGAGATAAATTTCAATACCTACACTTTTACAGACTTTTTTAAAAAAAGTACCGAGAATGAGTTATTGCACTGCTTTTAGAAATGCAATAACATTCATTGTAATTCAGTCACCATTTTCTAAAGACTGGAAGTACCTAGTCTTCAATAAATATAATTAAGCAAATTGTTTTTTTTAATAAATGCCAATGCAACCGATCACAAACTAACGTATTTACATTTAAAAAACGCATTTTAAAAAATCACGGGAGATTACAAGGGGGAGGGGGTCGAGCCAAATCTCACGACATCTCATCTAGGGGGGAGGGGGAGTCGAAAAATCGCCAAAATCGCCTCAGGTAATTTATGGACGGCCTCTAGGACCTCATGCACAATGTAAACTTAAACGTAAACATAATGTAGCCGCAAAACCTAGAAATGAGTTATTAAGAGAGACCATTCGCAACGCCTTGACGTAAACGCAAATGTAAATCCGTAAACATAAGAGTTCACAAGCACCACGCTTTTACGTGAAGTTTACGCGGGAATTCTATCGAAGACCATTACTTATATCTCCCACCAGCAGGACACTGCCCCGGCCGGGTCAAACTAAGCTGCCGACAGGTCTCCCGGCATGTGTGGTTGTGTAGTGCAAGTGAGTGTGTGAATGTGTGTATGTAATTAATGGGCGAGGAGAGGACAAGGAGGAAGAAACAAAGATGACGCTCATTAAAGGAACCCTACAACCATTACTCAGTTCCACAGACGGGTGTGCCAAAATAATAACATTTTTAACAACTACAAAACTGTTCAACCTTATATAGCTGCTTAATGTATTAGAACTGTAACTAGATTAAACCTTACATATTGTGAAAAATGGGATTAAATTTAACATTTTTGTCCTTGTAATAATTGTAACCTTTATGTTTATATATGCATTTATATAAAGACAGGTGCCGCTGATGACCGTGACGATATAAAGCGACCATTAATAAATAAATTTAAAAAACGATGGTGCGCGGTCAATGATGGCCCGTTTGTCAGGGTACTGCTCCGCCATTTGCCTGGTGTTGATCGGAGAATCCACAAAAAACTACCAATCAGAGCAGTCGGCCGCTGGAATTCTCCTCCAGATAGCGATTGAATTTGACCTAGCTAGTGTCAAGAATCCTTACCCCGTCTGGACTTGATGGAAAAGTTGAGACATCATCGTTGTCAAATAAAGAAAAATGTAAACTTTATGTTTTTTATACAAAATTATATTATTTGGAAGCTTTTTCAATTATTACGTCTCCAAGATATTCTTTCTGCTGAAGGGATCAAGGATTCATGTCTTCCAAGCTTGGACGTCAAACATAGTTCTCATTTAAGTAAGTTCTTCGACCAAAGCATGCTTTTAGATTCGTGTGGAGTAAGTTAAAATATTACTACGAGGACGTAACTTAAAAATACTGAGAATTTGACGCCCTCCCCCAATTCCTATGAACATTATTAGACATATAAATACAAAAATTGGAGACAGAAGCACTAAAACAGTTCATTATACTAGAATTTACAGTTACCAAATATACCAAAGGTAAATAATAAGGAAAGATAAAGTAGAAAGAAAAACATGAAAGTATTATCGGAAGAAATGCCATTTGAAACAAGTGCCTAATATTTTTAAAATGACAACTATCTTATATATTTCAGCTAAATAAATTAATAGCATTGTCATCGAAAATTATTTTTATTCTCAAGATTGAAAAGTTTACGTTTATGTAAGCGTCTGTTATATATGATAATGACGCTGAGAAAAATACTTTTAACAGCCATTGCAATTGCTATAAATTTCACTCATGCTCCATAGAGAGAAAACTGGAAATATTTCTCTACTACCATTTAATACAATTCTATAAAAATGTATAGTTTATGAAATTTATTATTAACATAATTCAGTCATTCCATATCTTCGAAGTGTAAGTATTATTATATTAATTCTGAATTTTTAAAATGAATATAAAGCATGAAAACAAAAATTCAATTGAAATTGAATTTTCACCAAAATATATTTGCAACTGCGCCTGAATGCTTTGTTTCCTGATTGACTACCACTGGAAAGAAACACTTTTTTTCAAATATGAATTTTCTTATAAATCCTCAATCAGCCTACTTCGAACTCTGCCTATTTCAATTCTGGAAAAGTTGATGAAATGTTCACAAAATGTGTAGATAGTAATATAAATCAAGGAAAAATGAGTAATGATTGTCATTATCTAAGCTTTATGAGAATGAAGGAATTTACAGAGGGATTCTTGGTGAGAGAGTTGGTGATAAATTCTCCTTCAGACAGCGACCGCATTCGACCTAGCTATGTAGCCAATGTCCAAAATCATGCCACTGGCGGGACTCAAACCCTTGGATCTCCCGGTCACAGGTACTGCAGTGATCTCAGTTAATTCCTTGAGCCAACCCAGCCAGTTTTTGTGTGTTCATGTTGTTACACATGCATTACTTATTCCTGTCGAAAAATTGGAATTTCAAACCTTGAACACAAAAGCACGCTGCTCGAAATGCAAGGGAACTTTGAAAACGACCGGAAGTATTATTTGTTGACTGATCATTTATGAGAACAAAATCATTGAGAGTTGATTTTATGTCTAGCAAAGACACTTCTTTCACAATATTTTTGCTCCAGTACCTAATACTACCAAACAAAACATTTCAAGATTAATAATAAAAAAAAATTACTTACCGCAATTTTTTGGAGTAGGCAGTCGAGCACCAAGCTAGGAATTAGAGGATGTTTCTTCACAGTTTACATTGCGATAATTGTATTTTATTTGCGCCTCGATAACTCCAAAATCGTCACACTGCGACAGCCTCCATAACCTTCAAAAGAGACGCGCGGCGATTCCAATCACGAATACAACCGTTGTACCACAATAATGAATTGGAGGGTATTGTGTGGCGTTCTAATTGCGACAGAGTTGCAAACGGAAAATTTACGTAAGACAATATTGCTGGTTTCATTAATTAATTAACACTCATTTCAACCGGAAATATAATCCATGAAATGATGAAATAATGACAAGAAAAATACATTATGATTTAGTTAAAATCAGTTTTAGTTCGTACTTGTTAATCTTGACTATACACACCGAATATGATTTTTTTCTCGCTAACGTCGCTTGTCTTAACAGAATTGCACCGTTGCTTAACTGCACCGTTTACATTCCCCTAGGAATTTTTCGACTTGCATGGGACAATAATTTATTGAGCACCAGCACGAGATGACACATAAGTGAACACCCGTGTCCATAAACATGTAGGTCAGGATATAATATCTACGTCGATACGAGCCACACGCGCACGCCACGCCGCCACACGCAGCGCTAACGAGCCCGATGCACAGTCACGCGTCAACCCGGCTCGCCAGAGAGCGACTGCTGTGGCGCCAGCGCGCGTGCCGCCGGGGAGCGGAAGGGCGACGCGACTGCAACGCCACCGGCGGTTACATGCAGAACTAACGGTTGTTTTTTTTTTCTTTCCTCCTAGCGGAAACCAGCAGACGTTCTTTTCTCTCTCTTCGCCTCTCCTCTCCCCCCAGCAAAAATGTAATTGAATATTCAAAAAGATCTCATCCTGTAGATTACGGGATTAGAAATGTTTCGCCGAGGCTTTTGGATTCAAAATTTTAGTTTTTAATGCCCTAGAACACGTCGTTTAAGAGTTATTTAACGAAATACTAGATTTAAAAAGTCTTGCCGAGTGTTGCGGTTTGAATTGGACATAGATATTTAGATTTGTTCTACAGCGACATTAGTGTTTTAATAGTTATTATTCTATTCGCTGCGTAGATGAATCCAACAAATCATAGATAATTAACATTGGCCCGCCGTTCTTGAGTTACAAATGTAGTAGCTAACCCGGCATTGTTTCAAATATATATTGATATACAGCTACTTGTATTAACTCGGCGGTGTTCGATTCATTGCTTAATACAAACTGTTAGACAAGGGAAGTAATGCATTTATCAGTAGCGTGACGTTGAAGTAATTTTATTGTCCCGGCAACACTCTGCCCCATGCTCTCAGCACGACATATGCCGTCCACCAACCTGCCCAGCCGCCCGCCCGCCCGCCCGCCTGCAAACCGTAATACCTACAGGCACTGCGGGTTGCGTTGAACAAATCATTGTACAAGAATAAGATGTTCTCTACAGATATTGTGTTTTAAAAAATCCTGTCTTAGTTATTACATACATCATACTTTGATTTCCAAATTTCTGTTTATTGTAGAATTGTCTCTGCGTTGATATATAGACACGCTTCTATTGATATAAAAAGATTCACTATTGCACTTTTCGTAATGTTAAGGGCTATTCCACTGATACATTCGCAAATCATTTTTATTCTAAACTTTCTCATTTGCAACAACGTAAAATATTAGCAAATTTCGCGAGAATTTTCCTCTATTTTTAAATTTCGTCTTTTCTCTTTTCTTTTTTTTCGATTTTTGAACCTTCTTCCTCCCCTTAAAGCAGACATATTTTTAAATGATCCCTTAAAGTGAACATTTATCTTATTTTCATGCGACTAATAATTTTCAAACGTCTCTATTCTCTCGGGTATGAAAAGGAATTACAGCTCGTGTTCATCTAAAGAGCAAATGGATAAACTTTTTTTTTAATTTACTACATTCATTCCTGATAATTCGGCGAACGGGTTTGCAGAGAGCAGGAGAGAAGTGAAGAGAGAAGAAAAGGTGCTTCAAATTATTTGGCTAAATTCCCGCTTCTTGGTGGCCTTCATAGGAGTGTATGTAAGCTTTGCTCTGGGTGAATCAAACTTTTGTAGTG